TAAAACAATATCAGAGTGTAATCCCAAAGATCTCGAATGCGCAAAACATGGTGTGATGCACTGCGATCAAGCCGACTCTTTTCCTTTGAAAACGAAGTACCTGAAACCAAAACTGAAAATCGTAAGCACAATTCATAGTGAGTTCCCCTATTATACCACATACCATACAACACACATATTGTCAAGCATATTCGGGTGTTAGCCTACCCCTTCGGTATCTTTCAACCGGTATTCGGGGACTGTTTCACCCCTATCACTACCACATAATATCAAAGCATAACATACATAAATATTCTGTCAGACATATCTGGGTGCCCGAACTACCCCTTCGTTATCTTTCAACCGGTAGCCGGGAGCTAACCTCCCCTTCGACATATTTCAACCGGTAACCGATGACTATTTCACCCCTTACCACTACCACATAATAACATAACATAACGTACTGCTAGGCATGCATGGGTTCTGACGACCGCTTCGGTATCTTTCAACCGGTATCCGGGGACTATTTCACCCCAATACTACTAACACATATAATAGAGCATCTTAGCACATAGAGCATATCAGATAGTTGCAAGCCAAAAAATTATCACTAAGACAATCATCTCATACATAGTCACCTACTAGTGGGCTGACATTGGTGCCTTAGACACACCTCTACTGGAAGGTAACTCACCTCACACTAATGAAGTCTCGTAGACACAATCCTGACTGTTGGATGACAGATTCCCGAACTGTCAATATCAAAAAATCACCAAATTAATAATTAGGTTCCAACACATGTCCATAAGTCCATGTTGGGGTAAAAGACTGCTTTACCCCTATCTTGACTTGATTCAAGCCCAAGGCTCAAAGGCCCAAAATTCAACTATGAGTCAAAGCCCAACACATGGCCCAATTTTCCAAATTCGACCCAAACCATTATAAGGTCTTACCATAAGGCCCAACCATTTAGTCTAGTCCAACATTCGACATTATAATGGCCCAACATCACATAATCATAAAGGCCCAAACTATGGACCATCTATGGCCCAATTTTCCAAATTAGGCCCAACTCCTCATATGGACCTTACCTCAAAGCCCATTAATTATTCTAGTCCATTTGCTTGATCTTGGATGGCCGATTAATAACCCAATCATCAAGGCCCAATAGAAAGGCCCAACAATAAACCCAAAGTGAAATTTGGGTTTCACATAAAATGACGATTAGGGTTAAGTGTTTCTCACTTAACCCATTAAGGACTTAATCCATTAAGTCCATCACTCTTCTAAATAAATTATACAGTGTGATTGGGCTTAATGCACAATTCCATTCTAATGGCCCAAATGTGGGTCCTGATAAGTCCAAGCCCATAAATCCAATATTAGGGTTTTCTAAACCCTAATTAGGGTTTCCAACCTCATATTAGCCCAATAGGCCCAATAGCTAGGCCTTTTGATCAATTAAGGTTTATTAGGCCCAATAGTCACATGTTTGGGCTTTTAGGTCAATTAGGGCTTCATTGGGTCCATTAGGGTTTCATTGGGCCTACTAGGGTTTTAGTCCCTTTATCCAAACATTCCAAACGAGTCACAATCCAAACAAGGCACACCGCCACCCGACACGACGGTCGGTAGCGGCAGCCACCACCTCATGGTGGTGGTTTTGAGTTTCTTTCCATTATTCCATTTTTCTGTTACAATTTACAATGAAAATACCTAAATACACACACACATCCACCCTAGTGGTGGCCGACATTGGCACGTGGTGGCAGAAACACACACACATACACATCCTTTTTGCTGGGACAAATAAACCCAACACCTACATGTGGTGGGTGGCGACGACAGCAGCACCACGAGTGGCATAACAGTGGCAGCAACGACTAACGACGGGACAAAAGAGGAAGAAGGAGCGACTACAGTGGGGGAACGGAGGTTGCGCCTCCACCAGAACATGAAAACAGCGGTTGCGAACGTTGCTTGACCGACTTCTTACTGCCATGACGTCGACTCCTCGACTTCAGCTCACGCCGACAGCAACAACAATGGTACGAATGAATGATGACATGAGGTTGGCCCTCGCCATTGGCCACGACAGAAACGATGATATCGAACTCGTCCCAATGGTTCTCTCCGAGAGCGATAAGGACTTGACTCGGCGGCAAGGCATTGGCCTAGAATGGCAGCGTCTGGCGGTCTTGCTCGATCGTAAACGAGGAGGAAGGGTGGTGCGGCTGGAGGTCGACGAATGGATGTAGGAAGGATCCAGAGATGGTGGCGCCAGTGAGGGAGGTATAAGGTGGCGGATGTTGGGAGAGTTATGGTTAGGGTTTTTGGTAACCGGTAGTGCTAAGCTTATATACCCGGTGCCATAAAGTCTTATTGCCATAATGGCAGAATCAGTCCCGTTCTATACAATTCTTTTTAACTATGACCCAATACTTACCATTTAAACCCTGCCTCCTGAATCATTTATAATTGAAGTCCGAATTTTACCGTTTTAACCCCAGCTAACCAAAAACCCTTCAACTTAAGTCCTCATAATTACCATGCAACCCCTCCTCTATAATTTTTTCAAATGAGGTCCATAATTAACTCTTTAGCCCCTGTTTTTCATAAATCCTTTCATATTAGGTCTAATACTTACCAAACATCCCCCTGTCTTCTAACATATTTACAAAATAAATCTCGAATTTATACTTTGACCCCCGAGTAATCCAACTTATGGCATTTGGCTTCCCCAAACCAACACCTTGCTATATAATTATAAATTTTAGGGCTACAATTCATTCATTAATTTCATCTATTTATTTATTAAATAAACGGGGTGTTACACAGAGCCCTTAGTTGGGGTTGAGCTGCCAGGTCAACGCGGAAATTTTTTATAGGATATGTTACTATATTAAAAATGCACCAGAAAATTGATTTTTCAGATAATGGACCATTGGTTTGACCGTTATCCAAATATCTGTTTTATGTCAGTTTTTATGGTTTTTTCACAGTTTAAAACTATCATATGACCGTTTTCAGACACAGATATTAAAGTTGGTTTTGGTCTCATTTCTAGTACATACGAAAATATCATCAAACATTCTCTATTCTTGTCTCTATGAGTATTATCCAATTGAGGATTTGAAAGTACCACCCAAATACTTCGATTTGAAAGTGATAATCACAATTCTCAGATATCCAAGTTCCATTAAACCAATTAATCTAACACTATGTATCCTTGTTCTCAACACATATCACAACTCGTGTTATAAGGTAGATGTATTTGTTTTCATCCTTCCTAATAGCTGATAGAACTTCTCATTAACTATACCCTTTAAAAAGCAACCATTATGCACAATTACATGCTTGCACCCTTCTATCCAACCATCTTTACAACTTTATAACACACATAGTACTTGGAAAACAAAGTTGTGAAATTTGGCATGATGTCCACATCCAACTTCACAGTAGACACAATATTTTTCCTTAAAATGTCCTCACCATAGGATCAAAATCTCCCATAATGCTTAATGTGACTTCCTTAAATCTTTTGTAATGAAAATTTATTTACATTTCTATATTGTCCTAAACTCATATTTATGTTAAATTTTGTGGACACTTTAGATTTCATATTCCTTAAACTCATTTTGGCTTCTCTATAATTCGACTCATAAATGTTTACCTATCCATCTATAAGTCACTACTGATCCAACCTTAAACACCCTACAACAGTTATGTTCACTAACTAAAGATTTGATCTGAAAAGTCTTCTCTTTAGCCATCTAGGAGGCCTAAAGTCTAAAGGGGCAACATGATGACTTGTTCTTTTTGCAACATTTAACTAACAATCTTTCCAATTCATTTTTTTCAACCAAAGATCATACGCACTAGCAACTGCATAGTAGGATTAGAGAATCATATATTTGTCATTGGTTTCATCTGTTCCCATGGATGTTTTTCATCATGCACGTGGTGTTGGGGTATACCATATTCATCATCTTTATTCACTATAGGATGCCAAAGAATGTTTAAAAATTTGTAATCTACAATTTTGTTGCTTGAAAATGGATAAGAAACATCATCTTTTTCACGGTCAACAAAGCATGAATATGAAAGATTGAATCTTCATCTTATTCACACTTTTGATCTACATTTTTTTTGTTTCTTCAGTTACCCCATCCTTAATCCATTCGAAGATAGTTTCATTCTAGTGGTCCACATAAACATTCATTCTCTTCCCATTAACATATGCCATATCCAAAAATTATTTGTAGTCATCATCGTTGTGCAGTATATGAATGTCATGACTCAACGAATCTTTTGGAAAGTAGAAGTACAAATCTTTGCATCTCTTTCTGGTGAGCCTCTCAAGGAAATCAATGAACTCTAAGTATTCAAACCCACTGAAATCAACGTCTCGAATGGATGCTCTGCTGAGATCAAAGTAAGGGATTTGGTGCAAACGTCCCATTATAGTGAATGTTCAATACAATGAAATTATTATCAATTGGAGTTGATGAAGATGCCATTATTCAAAGACGAAGGATGGATGTGAAAAATTGATGCCCTAATCGAGTTTACAGACCAAATGTGAAGTCGACGACTATTTTAATGAGGGAGCCATCCACACCATTTCCACTTGATGATTTTTTTATACGTATTAAAATACAAACTTGTAAAAACGTCTATAACCGGTCATACTGGTATAATATACATGTTTCAATACATTCAATGGTAAATAAAATACGAAAAATAGTTTAATGACCAAATGAAAAAAAAAATTTGGAGAAAAAATCACAAGCCAACATAGTTCTTATGACCATTTTCAAAAGCTACGATTTTTAGTATTTTTAAGAACACATGTGCTTATTTTTTGAAACTTCTTTATGTCATAAATCAAAATTAAGTATTTGAAAAAAAATGATTATTATTAGACCAAGTTTATTTATTTATTTATTTATTGTTATGGTAATTGAGGATTTATTAGATTATGTTTATCGTTAGTTGCGCTGTAAAAACTTGGGGACAAAGCGACGAAAGTGTATAAAGTTGAACGAACCCCAATAAGAATGAAGATGCATCAATCCATCCATCCATAGTAAAATTAAGGGTATGATGCTGGAACAATCGGAATCCAAACCTTTCAGCAATCCCACGATGCCGTGTTCCAAATTCACAACCAAACTCAATCTTTCTAAATGCACTATCAACAATGGGATTTCACTGCAAGTCGCCGATGATGATTCTGCCGTCGAGGAGCATTTGGAGTGCTGGCCACCAACTACGGCGGTGGTTGATAGATTGGTACTCCAATTGAAGGATAAAGATGGCGACATGGAAGCGAATTGGGAAAAGACAATACTCAATTTCAAGAAAGAGCTTGATGCAGAGGAGGAACAATTGAAACCGAAGTTGACTTTAACTTCGGATGTAGTCGATAATAGCGAAGATGGTGATGGATTTCAGAGAAGAGATAGGGCTAGAGCTAAATTCTCCGTTCCGCTTTCACGCCGGGAGATGGAGAAAGACTTCGAGGATATGGGAGAGCGGCGGCTACCTCGGAAGCCGAAGAAGCGACCTAAATCTGTACAAAATCAGTTGGATGTAAGTATTTCAGAGCCAACACTTTACAGGACCAAATCGTTATGGATTTGATACGCATTTCATACTAATTCGTAGTTGCTGAATTTAATATAACATGTAGCTACCTGTTCTTCATGAAATATTGAGATTTCGTTGCTAATAAACTACAGTCCATCATTCTTCTTATGAAATGTCAATCATCATAGATTATAATTGCAGTTCTATAAGAACATTCACATAGATTTAGGATCTACTATTGACTCAGTGGCTCGGGATTTTTCTGTATGATTGTCATCAACATCTAATATCTTTTGTTCCTTCACATATCATTTGCAGACTCTATTTCCTGGCTTGTGGTTAACAGAGATAAATGCTGATCTTTATAGAGTTCCTGATACAAAAAAGGTACGCCATTGTTCATTTCAGAATCTTTCAAGTTCAGTTTATTTATTTTCTGAATCTTATTTTCTTTCCTTCAAAGCAGAGGTAGTGATGACAAACATGTCCTGGAGCTTGAAGGATTTTTCCATAATTGTTGACAATTGCCCAAATAAACTGGAATACTTTACCATAACTGGGAAACATCATATGTAAGTATATGTATATTTTTTCTTGTTTAGAATCATACACTTTTGTGTATTGTTTCTTTTTGGATATTTGTAGAAGGCATTTAATTTAAGTCCCCATTATTTTCCTAATCAGTTTTTGTAGATGAATATATATCCATTTGTTAATCTTGGACTTTAAAAAGTAAATCTTTTGCAAATCCAAAGTCAAATAGTGACTCATTTTTTGGATGGATGTAGTAAATAACATTTTAGATATTTGTAAGAATTCAAGAACACATTGTCTTGAAACTAATACTTGTTTACTTTTCTAAACAAAAAGACTAATATGCCCCCATAACAAAATCAGGAAACACACTCTTATGAAATTCCCATTTCTCATTTCTCATCTAATCCCATACTCTTATGATTTTGGGTGCAGGGCATTTTTGTAATTTGCTAAAGGGTTTGCAATGATCTTTTTAGTTTTTATTGATCAAAGTTTCATATGCATGACTCTTTTGCAGTTGATAGGAGCATAAAAAATTGACAACTTTTGTGTCCCTTGAGTGAGCCTCACTACATGTATAGCGATATAATGGTGGATTTTGGAGAGGGCCAAGGGCAAAATGGTCAAATGGAACCGGTCTTTTTTCCAGGCTTCTCATCCATCATTTATGAATTTCTTTTGATTCTTTCAATACCTTTGAAGTGATGTTATAATTTGTAGATATTAGTAAATTCTAATTAGGTTTTTAATTTTGTGAAAAACCCTTGAAATTTATATGACTTTTCATTAGAAAAAAGCATCAAATTTAGAATTGATCTAAAAGCAAAGCTTACATATTATTGATCTAAATTGAATATGTTCGATTTACTTACTCACATTAGAATATATTGACACTAGAAATATCACTAAGAATAGGAATATTGGTTATTCTTTGGGGAAATTAGGGTTAGTGCTAATTTACGCATCAACAATCCAAATAAGAACAATTTGCATTAAAGTAATTAAATTTAGATAAATGCCCTTATGAAAAATTGTGTACTCCATAGAAAGAAAGAAACCACCAAAACAACCACGAAGATGAACACATGAAGAAGCTTCACCCACCACCAAAGAGAGCACACAAAAACCGTTGCCAACACTATTACAGTTAAACCGGAGGGAGTGGTGTCATACTTGTCACAGTTCATATAGACGCAACGTAAAATATGTAATTACTCCCAGATTTTGCCATTTATAGGGCGTGTGTTGCTCCGCTTGCCATACCTAATTTTTTTTTATTTAAATTTCATTTAAACTAAAAAAAAAACAATATGCACATAATATTTTAATAAACTCTTAAATTTCATTAATTAGAAATTGGTAGACAAAAATGATTCTTAGCAATAGTAAACTGGCAGATTTTTTTGGCAAAAATGGTCCCTCAACTATATTTGGGTATTTTGTGTCAATATCCAGATTTTGATAGTATTTTTTGGCCTTTAGGTTTTTACCACAAATCTTTGGTGCATTTAACACTTTTCGCCTTTAAATTCAAAACTTTTATATTTTTGCATTTTCATTAAAATTTTCTGCTTTTTGGTTTTTGCCACAAAACTTTAGTGAATTTGACACTTTTAGTCCTTACAGTCAAAAGTTTTACATTTTTGATGTTTTTGCCACAAATCTTTTATGAATTTGACACTTTTTGTCCTTGTACTAAAAACTTTTACATTTTGACATTAAGAAAAAACCCCATTTTGATTTTTGTCACCATATTTTCCCAACTTTGGCAACTTTAACATTATTGCCACACAACATTTTTAAATTTTCGCCAGCAGTATCCATTCTTTTGGTTATATACTTTTGAAATCTAATTTTAGGGGCTGTCGATTTTCTCATCTATTTGTGATGATTTACAATTTCAGCACATATCTTTTAAAGTTTGTCGTTTTTTCCCAAATTACCCCAAAAGCGGTGTAGCCACGGCCTCTTTACTAGTTGAAATTAAAATAACACACAACACAACTACAAATTAAAACACACAAATCACTAGAACTTAACTAACAACAAGCTTAAAGATTTTGTCATTTAATACTCCTTATAATTTGCTAAAACTCAATAAGGTGAAACTGTTTATCAGCTTCAACATGGTAAGCCTCAATAACATTCTCTAGTAAAAGTATTTTCATTTTCACTATTTTCAGCTTCATGCATCATACTACAAAACACATTGCTAAACTGAATTGAAAGTGCATTTGTATGTCTCCATTTGGAGAAGATTTGATCTTTACTTTGAGGTAAAAGGACTTGACAGTTGCATTTTTTAGCAACTCTCCCTCAAAAAGTAGTCGTAGGGAGGTTAATGTGGATTGAGTCTTCTGTTACATCAACCCATGAACGAGTCAGTAATATCTCTTCTTCGGGAGACCAAATGTGAGTCATTTTTAGTGAGGAGATTTTGAAAAAATATGGAAAATAAGAGGATTTGGAAAGTAGATTGAAAAAGATTTGAATTTGATGAGGAATAAAGATTGATTTTTGTATTTACAGTGAAAGATAAATTGTTTAAAATTTGAAAATTTGAAAAAAAAAAATGGTTATATTTTGAAAAGGAGGTATATTTTTTTAGAGTGGTTATTTTTTGAAAATGAGAAAGTGGAATAAATAGTAAAAAAATAAATAAAGGTATTTCTCTTTCAACAGTAAAAATCTACCAAGTTTCCTCGTCGAACCAAGGTCGCCGAACGCACGACCGGTGTTTGCCGAAGTCCACCGAACATGCTGATGTCCACTCCATCGAGTCTTCGAGATGGTAACAATGACAAGTATATCGGACCCACCCCAGAAAAGCTCGGTCCCTATTTAAATATAACAAAAAATTTATTAATAAGTTAAAAACATATGGAAATAATAATAAAATAGATAAATACATTTGTTAACATTTTCTCACAATGAACTTTGTGATCACATTTGAGCTTCTATTGTATTTGGATTAAGTTGGTTTTGATATGGACTTATCAATCTTTCTAGTAGCACTAGATGTGGATTTGGAAGCAATGATAGAGACAAAATTAAGCGGTATTATCTTTGCCATTGCTTGCAATATATGATAGTTTGTTTCTCTTGACTTTCACCACATCAAAATATTAAAGTCTTGAGATCAGGGCTCAAGCCCTTCCTCTAAATAACGATAAAGTTCAGTTTTTAAAATCGTGGAACTCTATTCTTGGTCTTCACATAGTTTTCTCAAGTCTAAAAATTTTCATCACAAGCCATTCATTTTTGGAAGCCGACCCCATATAATCACCACCCCATATGAACTTTCCATAAATTTCTCTTGGTTTTCCATCACCAAATCATCATAATTTTTTTTATTATACTAATTTGATCCACACAATCATTTAGATAAAGAAGTTGAAAACAAAATTCGATCATTTCCATTTTGTATTGTGGATAAAAAACAACACCCATCAATTCATGACTTGGACCCCTAATATTTATTGGATTTCTCAACCATTTTCCTTGTCATTTTACACAATTATATTTGAATCGAAACTCCATTTAGATAATTCAAGTATAATCTCATAGATTTTGGGAAAATATAATTTGATTGTGGGGTACCTTGTCCCAGATGAGATTAAAGTGATATTATAAAACAAATCTTATCTCCCACATATTTGATGTGCATTTTCCTAAATTGATGAACTATACAATGTGTTGTATCGAGTATCCCATTGTTTTAGACATGAAAAAACATATATTTTTGGAGAATCCAAACATACTTCTTGGATTATGGTATTATTAATTAGAAAAAACTGCAAAAATGGTCCCTGTGATCTGCATTTTTTCTGGGTTTTGGTCCAAACCTCGATTTTTTTTGGATTGACGGTACTTTTAAACTACTTTGTATGTTGTTTTGGTCCCTCATAAAATTAAAAAGATAAAAATACCCTTTGTATATATTGTCTATGTTTTTTTTCTATTTAATATAAAGTTTTATTAATAAAAATTATGGACCCACCTCTCTCTCTCTCTCTCTCTCTCTCTCTCTCTCTCTGGGTTGTCTTCATCATACATCCCCAAATCAACACAAGAAAATCGATTTCTCCATTAATTCAACGGTGAGAGCTCTGCGCTTGTTTCCGTTCTCGTCCTAAATTACCACAAGAAAACCTATTGCAGAAGCGATTTGGTGCAAAGGTTCTGTTCTCGGATCTTAATTCCTAAAAGAATAATGTGTTGGTTCTTTTCCCTCGATGACTGATGGTAATGTCCCTGAGAACGAGAGACATTTTTGGCTAATGGAAGTTGAGATTGTCTTGGAAACGATACCTTTGTAAAAAATCGATTTGAAAATTAAATTCAGTCAAATTGAACAAAGCATTACAGTTAAATTGAACAAAGCATTACAGAGAAGAAGAGAGGTTATGATTGTTAGTGTCGATCGATCGTGAGGTAAACAAAGACAGTAAAGGGAAAGAAAAAAACCCAATCGCTCCCATCACCTTCTTTGTCTATTTCAATCTTGCATAATCCTATAATCAAATCAAACGAACCAGTGGAGCACATAAAATCTTTAACAACCGATTAATTTTGATGAATGTGCAGATTTTGCTCTTTTCTCTAATTATGACCGAATAAGCTTTGAAAAGGCAAGTAAAAAGGAGAATTGGATGCTTGCAATTGATGACGAGATGAAAGTCATACTGAAACCTGTGTGATAAAACCCAATTCTAGGAAACACAACCTATTTGTTTCACTTTTGATTTGGGAATAACATACAGAGATCCAACTTCTTTGTACATACTTTATACAGGGAATCAACCTTCTTTATGGAGCTGAGGGATGATTCAGGAATGCAGGTTTCCCCTTCCTTCTCATCATGAACCGCAGGATGCCAAAAGAACCAGGCAACAGAGCTATCACCCACCGTTGACAAAACCCACTTCACCACTCACTACCAATGTGACTGTTGGAACGCCCCTACTCTAACCATATACCACCTCACACCGACCATCGTTCTTCCCTATCGTCATCCCCACCGAGCAGAAGCAAGAACGAAGCAACAAAGGCTACTGGAGCAACCTTCGACCACTCTTACAGCCGCCATCTGTTGTTGCCACCATGATTCTAACCACCACCGCCTTTTACTACTGTAGTAAGTCTTTCGCCACCATCACCTTTCATTCCACATAATTTCTTTTCTATTCGAAAAGCTGATCAATAGGATTGCATATTTTTTTCCTTTCGTTCGTTACCTGCGTGAAACAGATCATGAAGGAGATGGAGTGTGACTCAGGGGAGGGTAGGGTACCAATTAAATGACGCGGAGAGAGAGAGAGAGAGAGAGAGAGAGAGAGAGGTGGGCTCGATTTTATATTAATTAATAATAATAATTTTAAAAAGTGAAAGAAAAAATGAAAATTAAATTCATTAAGGGTATAATAGTCTTTTTAATTTGGACAGGGACCAAAACTGCATGTAAACTAGCTCAAAAGGACCACCAATACAAAAAATTAAGGTTTAGACTAAAACCCCTAAAAAATGCATACCACAGGGATCATTTTTGCAATTTTGTCTATTAAATATTGGCATGAGTTCTCAAATGTCTAGACTCTGTCTAGACTCTGTTGGGGGTTGTTATCCAATAAACGACACTATCACATATATTTTCAATTGCACCTTAAATGACATTTAACCTATCTGGATTAGGGATAAGGGAAGACCTCATGTGAATATGGGTGTCATCATGCATAAACATATTTAATTTTTCTTTAATTTTACTGATTAATCAATCATTTTTAGTAGAATCATTGATTA